AAAAAATAATAATAATCTGTCCATCTTCAAATCGTTCAGTTGACGCCAAGATGGAAATATTAAAAGAGCAGATGCAGCAAAATGTTTGAACTACAAGTCAAAAGTTAAATTACAACATTGTGAAATATGTCTGTAATGACACACATTTTATAGACTATCTATAATAAAAACCTTGAAATGACACAATAAAGTGGGAAATGAAAGAGAACGGAGAACCTTACAGTTATGTTTTTCTGTATTATAGCTGTCACCTTATGGACAAAAGCTCCACCACGCATGCATAAAATTATTTAATTTAGAAAGAAAAGGGTTTGTTCTCTCTCTCTTTCTTTAGATGGGCGCAGCCACCGACTCTGTTTGCATAACAAATATGCTAATCTTAAAAACGGAGGCTTTATTTAAAGCTAGACAGATTTAGATTGATGTGGGGTGTCTGTTTTTATGACGACCGGGCCAATTCATGTGAAAAGGTGAGGAGAATATTACGCATATAAAACAAGCCAGTGCTGTTATCAGAAACCAAATAACAATGAAGCATAAAAATAAAAAAATAAAAACTGACAGCAGAGTGCAAGAGAGCAGGTGTTTAGCTGATACTGGTCCGGAGCACTTATTGTTCAGTAACAGGCTTACTTTTATTATTTTTGCATGCTCGTTGCAGTTACATCGGTTGCTTGGCAACTTGGCATTGATGACAAAATCACAACATAACGTGCACGCTAAGCTATAGCTTCATGTTCGATACAGCATCAGTCTAATCAGGTGCATGAACCAAAAACTACTAAATGTGTCCCAAACAGAATCAAACTGAGTTGCAGAGCTCTAGATCTAGAATCCAGATCTTATTATAGCCCCCTATAAATAGAGCTGTTACTTCTAGGTCAGCCTCAAAAGCACATTTTCTGTGATTTTTTAATGACCCGTCTCAATCGTCAAGACTGGTTGAATGTAGGACAAAGCAGAACAAGACGACAACCTCTTGTAAAGCAGGAAATTAAATAAACTACTGCAATTGTTTGCACATTTAGAAACTACAGAAGGCAAAAAGAACCCATTGGTAGTTTTTGTACATTTTTACACATGCAAATAAATCAAAGCAGGAGCCCATTGAGTAGCATAATCAACTGATCCAACAAAGTTCAGTCAGGTCATCTGGACGGGTTCTTTTTTTGATTGAAATGTTTCATCCAAAGGACTTCATCAATCCAAATTTTTGAAGAAGTCCTTTGGATGAAGGGGGAAACGTCTAAAAATAAATCAAACGAAACCATCCAGATGACCTGACTGAACTTTGTTGGATTTTTTTTACCTGGATCACTGAGCATGAACTTTGATGTTTTGAACCACTTTGGTCATGGCTGCCCCACATACTTGGGTGTACTGTGCGTACTCCGTGAGCCGCGAGGACTCCGCGCGTACTGTCCGCAGACGGTTGAGACTTCATACTCGAGCGTACAGATTTTACTTCTCTCGTGACAAATTCCTTCATTTCTCACAAAAACGAGGAGAAAGAGATTGCTTGCCTCTTGGTTAAAAAAAAAAAAAAAACTAAAGAAAGGAAGGTGGTACATAAACCAGACCAGTGATGAAGAAGGGCAATTTAATACACTGGTGAAGAACATGGACGATGGACAGCAAGAAACATTTTGAATATTTTAATATTTTTGAATGGATTCTAGCTAGTTCGATGAGCTAGTTGGGCGCTTAGCCCCGTTTCTTCACCACCAGGTGAGCCACCGCACACCTGCCAGCGCTGCACAGAGAGCGGCAGCCACACTACGCATCCTTGCGACTGGTTGCTTGGAACAGAGAGCGGTTGGTGTCGCATACGAATCAGTTCGACGTGAACACCGTCTCCAGACAGTTTATTGTGCGACACAGAGTACGCGTATGCGGTCATAAAAAGTTATCTTTGCACGGACATGTCTGGTGGACGTCCACTTTGAGTCTGCATTGAGTCTGCCTCGAGTACACGCGGACCTCCACGGAGTGAAGTACGCCCGAGTATGTGGGGGCCTTAAGAGGAGTCGACAGGGGAGAGGGCGGGCCCCAGAAACCATCTTATCACCAGCAAACTGGTTGGTCCACTATGGGAGTGTGCTGCTTGTGGGACTCAGTTTGTTGTAACTCCTCAGTTTGATGAAGTCCTTTGGATGAAGGACGAAACATCTCAACAAAACAAAACAAAAAAAAAAACTGTCCAGATGACCCGACTAAATTTTGTTGGACTTTTTACCTGGATTATTGAGCATAAACTTTGATGCATAATCAACCGGAATAGTTCGTTTTTTGTTTGTTTTATAATCTGAAAACTAAGTTATAAGTCTAGTGAACACTAAATTAATAGTCGAAACGAATGTTGATGGGACATAAAAATGCAATTTTATGATATTTTCTTCAATCACGCCAATGTAAAAGGAGGATTATCCTATCAGTGCTGATAATCTACTTCGCCCAGCTTTACTGATGTACCTCAAAATACCACACAGCCAAGATCTGACTATAACCTGTTCTGTAAAGTCTCCTGCCAAAGCGACAGACAAGCTCAAATTAAGGTGTTTGTGGCGTCAGCTAATAAAGAGTTTAACTTGATGGCCCTCTGCTTGCTGCCCACGATTACACTGCAGAAAAGAGCTGAACGGGCCGCCAGCCAAGTCTTACCAGACCATATGGCCATGGGCTGTGGTGGCGCTTGGGCCGTTGTTTCTTTCAGCGTCCTATTGTTTGGTCTCAAAAGACTGGGGGGCTGGAAGGGGGGATTATATGTACACCAGAACACAATCTCTCTTTCAAAACACACACACACACTGAAAAAGACACTCCCCCTTACGCACAGGCACGAAAATCACATTACCAGTGTCATAACAGTTCCACCCATAATCTAGTCACCTCTAATCCACAAAATACGGGTGCAAATCTACAGGCTTAAAATATCAGAAGAGTTTTGTTTGTTTCTGGTTTCAAGGCTGGTCCTAACTTTTACTCCAAAAAGTAAGAATTTTATGAGAAATATGGACATTTAAAAACAAATATTTAGTTTTTATGTAACTGCAGACAACAATAACTCTAGAACTCATTATATCTGATCCTATGCATTAATTTCTGCAATTCAAGCCTGAAATACTTTTTTTAAAATAGGTGCGATCAGGCAACTGATGAGGCAATTTAAAAAAATTAAATTATACTAAACAAATTAATCAGAGTCATAAGCAATATCTGGCTTAAACAGAGACTCCGTGGAGCAAAAATATGCAGAGAAAATGTTGTGTCAATAAATTTGTATGAATCTTACTGAAATAATTAAAAATAATTATTGAAGACAATGACCCAAAAACAAACTTCTTCTTTCATAGTGTATAATACAAAACAGCTGAAGAGTTTTGGATGGATTTCAGTGCATAAAGATAAGATTAAAGGCCTAAACTGACCGCTCATAATTCTTGATCATTCAGACAGCACTGCATCGATAAAAGCCACATAATCCAGGGATTATTTAGGGGAAGCTATATTAAGACCTACAATATGGAGCTGGATTCACAAATACCTCTTAAACCCTTCCAGTTCCATAAAGAATATCTGTTTTCTAACCTTGTTCAGAGGCAGTGGCGGCTTCTCCGAGCTCAGAGGAATCTCAGATGGACCATCACAGTGTCACATGAAAAATCCCAGAACTTCAGAAATCAAATATCAAGGTTTTACAAGTGTTCTCTTTTTAAGTAAACACAATAATATGGACAACTCTCAGAGGTCGCTGATGCCAATTAAAAATGTAGCTAAAATTATTAAGGTAATTAGCCAACCAATTAATCAGTCACTTTATTAATAGATGTGTGCTGGAGGATAAAGACAAGAGCTTGTAAAATACTTCTAAATTTGTATCTCAAATGTATATCTTGTATATCCTGTTAGAAATATGGAACTGACTTTTTTTTATTTATTTTCTTTTCTTTTGTAGGGGGTAATATAATGTATGGAAATTTAAAAATAGATATACAATTTCTGTATGGATGTTTTCAAATGTGCTTTCTGGTGGATTTTTTTTTTTTTACGTTTCAAATCGTATCCTGATAGACAAGATGTGAAAGATCTTTTACTGTAATACCACCATTTATCCTCATGGCTCATCCCTTTTTCCTATCTAAAAGTAGTATTCTGGCTTTTATGTATGTGAATGTTTCTGTAAAGTGCCCTGAGACAACTTTGTTGTGATTTGGCGCTATATAAATAAACTGAATTGAATTGAATAAGGATAAGAAAGGCCACGCTTACAGCAGCAGCTTCGTGCACTCCGTCCATCTTCCGGACGACTGTACGTACATGTTCTTATTGTAGGATGGTCACGAGACCCAAAATAGAATCATAAACAACAGAAACAATACAATAGTACTGCACATGGCACATTATATGATCTTGATTTGTAACCTTAACCTTAGAGCCTGGGTGATGAAAAGCTATGCGATACGCTGTCTAGTGGTGGTACAAATCTGTATCAAGTTTCATTAGAATGTCTTGAGCACATCAGAAGAAATGGGTGGGACAAGCGAATATCAGATCTCTCTTGTAAATGAGTCCTCGAGGCTCAATGGGATTAACCTGTCTAAATAAAGGTTGAATAACTTATTTTAACTTTGACCTTGATTTGTGACCTTGACTTTGCAGCTGAGGTGTACGGACACTTCGTCTAGTGGTGATACATATGTGTATGAGGTTTCTTTATGTTATCTTGAACGGATCAGAAGTTGCAGCACAAGACAAAGTTTATGGGCGAATGGACACTATACCATAATACTATACCATAATACTATACCATAATACGTCCACCTTTCAAAGGAGGTATAAAAATATGTCCTCGTGGAAAATGAATTCACGATAAATAGAAGCCATTTGGTTGAAATCAGGTCTCTCTTGTAAATGAGTCCTCGAGGCTCAATGGGATTTACCTGTCTAAATAAAGGTTGAATGAATGAATTTGCACATTTAGTTTGAACAGCATTACTCACATCAGATATTTCTTTGGGAAGGCCTTGAGAGCTCCTCAGCCAGCTGCGGCTCAACTCACTCAGCTCCAAAATGGGCTGCACCTTCAGCCAGACGGACTCTCCAGACTGCCGGATCATCTCCACGATCTCGTCCCTGCTTTTGTTTTCCACGTTCACTCTGTTAATTTCCACTAGCTTGTCTCCAGGCACCAGGCCCAAAGCCCAGTCCTTGGTCCCTGCCCCTGGTTCAGCAAAATGCACCAAACGTCGGGAAACTCCTCCGTCAGGCTGCCTCTCCAACATGGTGGTCCTCCTCAGAGAGAAACCAAAATCCCCAGTGTTGCGTCGCTGTATCTCAAGCTCTCTTGAATCGGGTACTGATGGAGCCACGAGGATCGGCAACTCCAAGTTTGCACCAGGGAATGTCGTGTCCACCACCTCTGGAATGTGAACCTTGACCGTGCTTATTGGGTTGGAATGGGACACTGAATTATTTTTAGTCCTTTTCTGAGCAGAGGGACTTGAAGCTGGAAAGGCACTGGTCTCTTTGGTCTTTTGAGTTAAATTCACCTGCTTCTGACCCGCCAACGAGTTCGTCTTCGCCAGTTCCCCAAACCTTGCCGCCCTCTCCTTCACAGAGCTGCGATTATGTTCCATCTCGTTTCCATCGTTAGCAGAGGTACTTGGGCACGTTTGGCCGACATCCTGCCTCAGGGTGCTGGAGAGGGGCTCTACCTGCAGGTTGGTCAAGTTGAGCTCCGTGTTGGTCACCACTTTAATTGGAATAGGATTAGAGATCTCCAGTTTTTTCTTGGCCCCCCTCTTGGAGCTGCCGGAGTGGAAGATGTTTCTACGTATTTTTATCTCATCCAGGCTGTTCAACTCAGCCTGGGACATAGGCTCTTTTTTCTCCTTCTTGTCTTTTTTGATCAGGTCCTTTTCTTTTGCCTTCTCCTTCTCCTTGTCTTTCTTTTTTATGTGGAACATGCTTGCACCGTCTCTGAAACTATCTGCCCGTTGGATTTGATTACAACCCGAAACTTTTACAGCCTGATGACTCTTCTCGCTAGCATCTACAGTTGATATGAGGACACCTGCAAGGAAGGTATGGAAAAAGGAAAAAATTGTGAAAAGTTGACAAAAACAGAATGAAGCTCAGTACTCCAAACTTTGACCAAGATACTTTCAAGTGAATCACTAGCCAAGGTTTCCAATTAGTAAGGTTCAGTGAATAACTTTGAGACATACATAAGCAGCATTTTCATTCCTACATACTGAAGGCCTACATAGCTTACTCCAAGATGAAAGGATATTTGCTATATGAGCTTTAAATTAAGTATTAAGTATTGTTCGGACTATAAGGCACACTTAAAATCCTTGAATTTTCTCAAAAATTGACAGTGAGCCGTATAATCTGGTGTGCCTTAATTATTAATTCTGGTTGTGCTTACTGACCTCGAACCAATTTTATTTGTTACAAAAATCTGTCAAAATAAACTTATTTAATTAATGCGCCTTACAATCCGGTACCCCTTATAGTCCGAAGAATACAGTACCCAAAAAATCATACATTTTAAATGTTATTTCTTACATTTAAACAGGGGAGCAGATCTCAGACACCCCAGGAAGTGGACGATACTGAATTATAACACTGCTGTTACGTGAACCCTCCCCCTGCTGTTGGTTATATCTTTAGCTTAGCCTCTTGTCCCAAGTTCCTGTCTAAATATATTTAACTGAAAGTTCAACAAACAAAGGAAGCAGTGAGTAAATACTTTAAAGCAGTAGTTTTCAAACTGGGGTTCCCGGACCCCTGGGGGTCCGCGAGCTGTTGCTTGGGGGTCCACAAGCAATAAATAAATAAATAAATTATAAGCACGTAGATGTTTAACAAGCAGTTAAAATACACCAAAATGCAGGAAATCACATCTAATTTATTCAAAGTTTTATGGGGGAGGACCCCCAAACACCCCGCCAGCTCACCCGCTAGTTGCGTTCCAGCATCGATGGCTAAAGCTTACTTGGTATTTCTGTTCAGTCTTATGTAAAGAGTTTTCTGTAATAATTTGAAGAAGTGGCAATATATTTATGTGAATAGTTTTAAAGTGGTTTATGATACTGTTAATTTTCTCAAAACTGTCATTTTTGCAAGTTCAAATTGAAAATTTTGTTCATTAATTTTGTCTTGAATGAAAAATACCCCATGTTTAAAATTATAAAAATTGTATGAACACTGAAAGAACACAAATAGCTCCATTGCATTAAAGAGACAAATTGAAGAGAATTATAAAATAAGCATGAGGGTTATGAGGGGGTCCCTGAAATTTTTTTCTCCCCTGGAAGGGCTCCCTGAACCCAAAAAGTCTGAGAACCCCTGATTTAAAGAACCCACTTTCCAGAGTTTTAGAATCAAACTGTTGACGTGTCATATGTATGTTAACCTTTCTAACTTTTGCATGCAGTAAATATTTATGACTCAAAACCACAATGTACCAGTGTTTTAGTGCCACTGTATGAGTAAAATATAAGTTAATTTATGTTGTTCAGTTCATTAGCACAAATAGTTGGGGTTCAACTAAGACTTTGCATCGTGTCTCATTGTTAGATCATTGTTCAATTAATTTATGTCCTCTTTGATCAGAGATGAAGAAAAATTGATTAAATAAATACAAGTTTGTTATTGAGATGCACACCTCCCAAAAACTTTATGGGAAAAACAAACTGGTTTAAAATTATTGCAAAAGATCAAACAAACTCAGAATTGATTATCTGAGCTTTGAACTCTTTTACTTTTATCCAGAACTTTTATTTCCCCATATTCTTATTAGAAACCGTAATTGTATCTCCTTTCCCCAATATATCAGTTGAATAGAATTAAGTTGAGTATTGATTAACCGATTATTCCATTGTGCTATTGGCAAAAAAGCATGCTATATATATATATATATAATTTCAATTTCATTTATTATTATTTTGTATTGGATGGGAATGCCATTAAGGAGAGAACATGTACACAAACTTTGCTAAATGACAACAAAAACAATCTAAACAATTAAAGCATTTAGTTGATGTCAGTTTTTGTTTTTGCATTTTGATTTGCTATTTATTTCCAACTATGACAAAATATGCTTTTAGCAAGTATCTTAATATTTTCTTTGCATTCTGGACATCATCACTCACTCTCTCCCAGTCTTCATACTTATAGCTGTAAAATGTCAAAGTATTATCTGAGTTCTTTACTCTCCCACATCTGTGACACAGTTTATCTGAAGTTGGCCCAGATACACATTGTGATAGAGGCGCTTTGGAGTTGCTCTCAAACCGTCAGCATCACCACAAAGTGATGGAGAACATTTGTGCTTAAAATACTCGACCGAAGCAGAAAACAGAATAAATACCTTGTTCTGATCTGTACATAAACAGCTAAACTGGCATTTGTATCTGCATTCACCCACATCTCTTGAGGTCAAAGGCTGTAAAACAGCAGGAAAAGAAGCCTCCGTCACTTTAAAGCATGTCCTATCTGCAGTAAGTAAATGAGTGACATCGTGTTGCTGAAGTCAGTTTGTCGCTTGGACAAGTGTCCACTTCAGCCTGGCCATAAAGCTCTGCCTTTAAGCTGCTTTGCCCTCGTTCCCTTTAGCACTGGCTTTACTGAACGCATTCAGCAGATATTAAAAATGTCATTCATAAAAAACACGACGAAGTCAAAGCTCTTAAAAGGCATGTAGCTACTTACCTGGTAATGTTCGGAACTGACAGCGTTGTTTTGACAAGGAGAAGTTTTCGGCATTTTCCTGCTCGCAGTAATTGACGGTAGGTAAGGGAATGTACTCCTGATGCGTTCAAGAGCCAGCCAAAAGCTCCGATTTTCGACCGCTATGCGATTAGGCTACTAAAGCCGGTGGAGAGCAACTCTCGATTTAAACGTCTTCGTTTTTGCGTTTTGAAAAATAAAATACTACATCAAAACCACTGCAGCAAAAAGAATGTACACATCTTAGGATAAATAATATATGGCAACACAAATGTAAGCTTTAAAGTGAACGAAGCGATCTCTTTCTATGCTCATATGTAAAATCTAACACATCAATGTAGCATTCAAGAACCGAAATAATAAATGGGTCGTCAACGTTTTAAATTGTCGAAATTGTGTTATTTCCAACCGTCCGTGAAGGCATCAGCCGTGCACATTGGAGAGCAGTGACCTCTCCTGGACTTTTTATTCTCTGAAACAAAACAGTGAATACAGTTGAGTGTCATGCTGTCAGAATTTGCTTGTCAAAACTCAATTTCTTACTTTTTTTTTTAGTTTATTAACAATGCTAATTTTATACTTAACTACGTATAAAAGTAAAATGGTAAATTATATAGCGCCTTTCTTTCTTATCAAGATACTCAAAGTGCTTTACACTACAATCTGTGCCCTCATTTACCCATTCATACAGCACTCTACTAGATCTCTACAAAGAATAATCAGTGCTTTATCACATTCATACACTAATCATCAGAGGCAATGAGGGGTTCAGTGTCTTGCCCAGGGACACTTCAGCATGTGGCTGCTGGTGGAATCAAACCCCCAATACTCCCATTGAAGGACGACTGCTCTAAACACAGTCTCTAACCACTCAGCCACATCTGCCACAATTTTTTAAGTGTGTTGTAAATATGTATATGTATAAATACATATGTAAATAAAACCTTTTTTCAAATAAAATAGCTTTAAGTTTTAAATAAAACGGTAAGAACTGGACTAGACATTAAAAGTAAAACCACATTAATTGCAATGCAGCCTAAACTTAAAGACCTATTATTTCTTGAAGGAATGCCTGCAAATGTAGCTATTTTTGTCAAACTTTGAAAATAACATTAATGTGCAAAATCAATACCATGAGATGTCATGCTCAAAATATTTGTACTGAATGAGTCTTAGCTACTACCTCATCAAATTTTAGCTCAATTTCTGTGAAAGAGAGTTTAGTTGTGGTGACCATCTTGCATGAGGTTGACTCAAAATAAACAATTGTAAATGTACTTCAATCAAAGCTTCATTATAAAGTTGACTGCAAATAGTTAATTAGTTTGGAAACCAAGATCTTGTACCAGTAGTTCTCAATAAACTTCTGTAAATGCCTGGTAGTCATTTATTTATTAAAATCAGACATGTCAAAGCAGAAAAAAAACATCTAAAACATGGAGGTAAGAGGCCCTCAAGGACCAGGACTGAGGACCACCGTCTTATACAATCTGTTATCGTTCAAAATGTGTTTGAAATCAGTCTCAGCTACTGTCACATCAAATTTTAGGTCAAAATATGTTTGTTATGGATGTTTTGGTCAATTATAATAAATATATACCTGTTGTGTGGTTTTTCCCACATTATCTACAAATTAGTTGAGTCTTCTTCATGATTAGTGTTTCCACAGCAAGGGTAGTAAAAGAGCAGGAGTGTGTAAAGTTAAAAAAAAGTTACAGCAAAAAATACAAAATAAAAAAATAAAAAGATCTCAACAAAAAAAAAAAGATGGGAAATTGTGTAAAAAGGAGGAAAAAAAGCAACAATTTACAAATTTCATAAACCCCTATTTTATTTACAATGGAACACAGTAAACTAATCAAATGTTGAAACTTGTGAAATCATGCCATGTTTTTGGAAAAAGTAAGGTAAATTTAAATTGTATGTTAGCGACACAGCTCTGCTTTTTTAACAGTCATGCGTTCCTTATGTGTAAGCTGCCTATGCCATAGGCACTAATGCACCCCAATACCATCAGAGACGCACACTTTTGAACTGTGAGCTGATAAGATGATGGATGGACCATCTCTTCTTTAGAGCAGAATATATGGCATTCATGGTTTCCAAACACAATTTCCAAATTTGATTTGTCTGACCACAGAACAGTTTTCCACTTTGCTTCAGTCCATTTTTAAAAAAACTTTGGAATAAAGAGGACAGCAGTGGATGGTGTACATTTATAGCTTTTCTTTGTATGATAGAACTTTAACCAGATGACACGGCAGGCTGTGTTTAGAGACAATGATTTGTGGAGGTGTTCCTGAGCCCATACAGTAATGTTGAGGGCCCAAATATCTTAGACATCCAAATGACATTCAGCCTTGTCTTTCGAGCAGAGATTTGTTCATATTCTTAAAATCTTTTGATGATATCAGTGGTTGCATATGATAGAATATTCAGTCTTGAGAATCATTATTCAAAACTTGTCCCACTATTTTGAAATGCAGTTTTTCCACAGACTGCTGAACCTCTGCCCATCTTTACTTCTGAGAGATTCAGCTTGTCTCAAATGTTCTGTTTATACTCTGTCCTCTTGCTCGCTTGAAACTAGTTTATTAGTCTAATTAGTTGAAAAGTACTCATCCAGCTATTTCTTATTCATAATTTTTTACTTTTACAGCCTTACATTGACGTTGTACCAACTTTTCTGAGATGTTCTGCTGCCATCAAATTCAAAAGTACCTGATGGTTTTTTTTTTCAAATATTGTACAATATCTTAGTTTTTTTTCATATATAATTTTAAAAGTTACCAAGTCACATTGTACACCAAGTGGAAGGGCAGCAAGTCTCGCAGCACTGGAGCAGGGTTTAAACTGTTTTACCATGGTGTAGATAGAAAGAGAAATGGGGTAGGGGTGGCCCTGAAGGTTATGTTTCACAGGTTGGATGTGTTGTAAAGGAGAAAGAGAAATTTTGGAAGGATCTAGATGAACTGAGTATTCCCAGAGAGGAGAGCGTGGTAATCGGAGCAGACCTGAATGGAAATGTTGGTGAAGGAAACAGAGGGGATGAGGAAGTGATGGGTAGGTGGGTAGGTTGGTTGTCAAGGAAAGAAACCAGGAAAGACAAAGGGTGGTGAATTTTGCCAAGAAAATGGATATGGCTGTAGTCAACACTTGTTTCCAAAAGAGGGAGGAACATACAGTAGAGACACCTATAAGAATGGATGAAAAAGTACACAGGTAGACTACATTCGGTGTAGAAGAGGAAACCTGACAGAGATTGGGGACTGTAAGGTTATGGCAGGGGAGAGTGTGGCCAGACAGCATCGGATGGTTGTGTATAGAATGAATGTTGTTGACAAAAAAAGAAAAAGTAAAATAAGAGAATAAGGCCAAATGGATAGGGCAGCACAGTGGCACAACTGGTAGAGCCGCTGCCTCTCAGCGAACAGGTCCTTGGTTCAAACCCCGGTCCAGGGGCCTTTCTGGGTGGAGTTTGCATGTTCTCTCTGTGCATGCGTGGGTTTTCTCTGGGTGCTCCGGTTTCCTCCCACAGACCAAAAACATGCATGTTAGGCTGATTGGTAACTCTAAATTGTCCCTAGGTGTGAATGAGAGAGTGAATGGTTGTTTGTCTCGTTTGTCTCTATGTGGCCCTGTGATGGACTTGCGACCCATCCAGGGTGTCCCCCACCCCTCGCACAGTGACTGCTGGACATGGGCACCAGCGACCCCCGTGACCCAAAATGGAATAAGCGGGTAAAGATAATGGATGGATGGGCCAAATGGTGGATGCTGAAGAATGAAGAAAGTTGTGAATAGTTCAGAGAGGAGCTGTTAAAGGCTCTGGGTGGTAAGAAGGAGCTTCAAGATGACTGGGCTACTACAGCAACAGTAATTAGAGAGACAGGTAGGAAAGTACTTGGTGTATCATCAGGTTAGAGAAAAGATGATAAGGAAACCTGGTGGTGGAAATGTAAAAATGCAGGAAGCTGTTCAGAGAAAGAGGTTAGCCAAGAAGAAATATGACAGTGAGAGGACAGAAGAGAGTAGATAGGAATATAAGGACATGTAATGTTGAGCAAAGAGGGAGGTAGCAAAGGCAAAGCAGAAGGCATATGAAGAGTTGTATGGGAGGCTATTTGAAAGAGGGTGAAAAGTACTTGTACAGATTGGCGAGACAGAGGGATCAGGCTTGAGAGCATGTGCAGCAAGTTAAACTTGTGAAAGATAAGGAGAGTAATTTTCTAACAAGTGACGAGAGTATGATGGGAAGATGGAAATGTGGAAGGAGTAATTTGAAGAGCTAATGAATGAAGAAGGGAATGCAAGGGGAAAAAGGAGCAGAGGTCATAGAAGCTGTAGACCATGAAGTGAGAAAGATTAGTGAAAGTTAAGTTTGGAAACCTCTGAAAAGAATGAAGAAGGGGAAGGCAGTAGAACCTAATGATATACCAGTGGATGTTTGGAAATGTCTTGGAGAGATGGCAGTGAGGTTTTTGACTCAAATATTCAATGGCATATTTGAGGGTGAGAAAATGCCTGAGAAATGGAGGAGAAGTGTGCTGGAGCCCATTTTTAAGAACAAGGGTGATGTACAGAGTTGTAACAACTACAAGGGAATTAAGTTGATGAGCCACACGATGAAGATCTGGTAGAGAGTTGTGGAATCTAGACTTAGATGATAGGTGACTGTTTGTGGGCAGCAGTATGGTTTCATGCCAAGAAAGAACACCAAAATTATCAACTTTTTTTGAGAAGGCTGGTGGAGAAGTACAGAGGGTAAAAAAAAAACTCCATTGTCTCTCTGTGGATTTAGAAAAAGCATATGACAAAGTGCCAAAGGAGGAGGTGTGGTATTGCATGGGGAAATTTTCAAGTTGCAAGAAGTATGTTAGACTGGTACAGGATATGTATGAGGATATCAGGACACAGGTGAGATGTGCTGTAGGAGTGACAGATAGCTTCACGGTAGAGGTGGGTTTGCATCAAAGATTGGGTCTGAGTCCCTTCTTGTTGATCTGGTGATGGACCAACTAACAGATGAGACAGGAATCCCCATGGACAATGATGCTTGCAGATGACATTGTGATCTGAGAACAGGAAACAGGTGGAAGAGAACTTAGAGAGGTGGAGCATGCACTTGAAAAAAGAGGAAAGAAAGTTAGCCTCAGTAAGACAGAGTACGTGTGTGAATGAGGGGGAAGCAGGTGGAACAGTGAGGCTTCAAGGAGTAGAGATCACAAAAGTGCAGAACTTAAAGTACTTGGGGTCAACTGTCGAGGAAAATGGGGAATGTGGTAAAGAGGTGAAAAAGAGAGTTCAGGCAAGATGGAGTTGATTAAGAATTTTGTTCAGGAGTGATTTGTGACAAAAGGGTGTCAGCAAAGGTCAAAGGAAAAGTTTACAAAGAGTGGTGAGATGTTTGTATGTTGTATGGTTTGAAAACAGTGGCACTGACAAAAGACAGGAGAAAGAACTGGAAGTGGCAGAAATGAAGATGTTGAGGTTCTCCTTAGGAGTGACGAGAATGGATAAGATTAGGAATGAGATCTTCAGAGGTACAGCAGAGGTTGAACAACTGGGAGATAAAGTTAAAGAGGCCAGACTGAGATGGTTTGGACATGTCCAGAGAAGGAACAGTGGGTATATTGGTAGAAGGATGTTAGAAATGCACCTGCCTGGAAAAAGACAAAGAGGAGATGTATGGATGCAGCTAGAGAGGACATGGAGGTAGTTGGAGTGAAGACAGAGAATGCAAAGGATAGAGAGAGATAGAGGAGTGTGACACTGTGGCAACCCCTGAAGAGGGAAAAGCCGAAAGAAGAAGACTAAGTTACATTGTGAATAAAATTTAGATTTGTGAGATTTGTAAATCATTGTGTTTTGCTTTTATTTACATTTGCACACACACATGCGCAATGTCCCTATGATTTTGGAAATAGTGTTGTACATTCAAAAGTGTTCAAAAAGAAAAAAAAATTAATGACAAGAATAGTTTGAATATTTCACAGCCATGATTTCTTGCCTCTTCCTATTTTGGCCATGTTGTGTGGTCTAGTTTTGCTGCGATCCCTTTCGTCTGAAGTTCTCTTTGAACTGCACTCCAAAGTCGAGTCTGTCTCGAAGGAGATGGCCGGGACCTGGTTTGGGACCCCACCACCCCTGTCCCGGGACATTGCTGCAGTCGTCTGCAGGACAACTCTTCCATGCAAAGAGTGCTTGAGCTCAAGCAACAGTGGGTTGCTGTAGGAGTACAATTCCACCTGCTGCATGGGGTCTCTGCTTGACTCGCAGCATATGCAACATGCAGAGAGCAGCACTCGGAATATGTAAATCCAGCCCAGATAATGTAGTTCCACAATGTTCAAGATGAAGCAGCCGAGGCTGACGCTGAACATGAAGTTCAGAAAGATGGTCTTCTCTGTTGCACGAGACACAAAGCAGTCGGTTCTGTTCGGACAAGGGTAGGTCTCACAGCGGAACAGATGTGGGACTTCAAATCCAAAAAGGTAGTACTGCCCGATCAGGAAGATTATCTCCATGATGGAGCGCAGCAGAACATGAATGATGTAGATGAGCAGTACTTTACTTGAAAGTTGGGTTGGATCCTCACGAACTTCTCTGATTTCTCCTTCCAGCTGGCGCTCTTCATACTCACTTTCCAACGAGCTCCAGTCCTCATTTGTGAAAGCAGTGTCAAAAGAACTGCCAGCTTCCAGGACTGTCTCTTTTTCTATTCTTAAATGGTTCTGTCTTTCAAGCAGAGGCGAGGTTTTGGGCATCGCAGTAACCTTCCTGACCTCTGAACTTTCCTTCTTGGTAACTTTTTGTAGGACATAGACGATGTAGAAGATGGAAGGTGTGGAGACTAGAACAATCTGGAAGACCCAAAAGCGTAGGTGGGAGACGGGAGCAAATGTGTCATAGCAGACATTGCTGCAGCCGGGCTGCAGGGTGTTACAGGTGAACTTAGACTGTTCATCGCTGTACACAGCATCCCCTACCAGGGCTACAAGCATGATGCGGAAGATAAGCAGCATTGTTAGCCAAATCTTGCCAATAACCGTGGAGTGGTTCTGAACTTCTGCGAGAAAACGACCAAGAATAGCCCAGTCCCCCATTTCTGTGGACGAAGAATAGATAAGAGACAGGAATTAGCCAGTTTCAAGAGATTGAGTTCACACAACCAGGTGTTTATCTTTAAATATTGGCATTTTCCTTATCAATAAAGAAACCATTAACACGTAGACAAAAAAGGCCTAGCATTCCTTATTGAAATGCACATCACCCGACACCTCAAGTATGTGTTGTGAAAGAATCCCAGCTACTACAGCATCAAATTTTAGCTCTGTATCTGTAAAATTAAGTGTTATATCCATGTTTATGTTGGCTAATAGGGAAGAGTTGTGACAGCCAACTTGAAACGGTTATGCTCTAAAAGTTGATCAGTAATAGGTGTGTTCTGTAGATAGATTATTGAAAGTTTCAATACAATTTATCCACAAGTTCATGAGGCATTTTACTAACAAACAGTGGACCATAACATATAACGGTTGCTGGTAATGATTTTAAGAAAAGATCTTGCACTATTTGTAGCACTGGGAATTTCTAATGTGAATTACTCTCAGCTACATCCATATCCAAACCCAACACAATATA